CTGACCTAGATTCTATGTCTCCGTCACTGGCAGAATCGCTGATTAATGTCTACAGTTCATTTTGACTAATCAGAGTCTATGGTATGAACACTGTGTCATTAATACCTACACCACATTGATGATTACATCCACATTTGTATCTCAATACAGATCATGTTTGCCAGTGAGGACACGGCTCTTGTCTTCGCTCAGGTGATAACACACAGTAACTATTCAAATAATTACATAGTGAAAGACGTTGTAAAGCAATATCCTGACCTTGTTAGCTTTTGAAATAATTAATCTGAATAATTTAGTTTGTCTATCAATACAGTGCAATGACATTATGACCTTTGCCTTAGCTGATTAATTAATAATTTATAATAGATGACCAATTAGTTTTAATTTCAAATTAATTGATACAGATTACCATATATGGTCATGCAGTCATTGTACTTTATAGAGTGACTCATGTACTGTGGATTGGTATGGACCTCGGGTAACTTGGATTGTTGTACTACAAATTGAAAAACTTGTTCAAATCTTTTCTTTATCACTTCAGTCTTATTTTTCTTTACTGAAAATTCATATTTAATTAATGCTTTTATTGAGAATATGTATGTAAATTTTAAACAAGTTAGTACAAACATCTTTTTGACAATGGCATACACACTGAGAATCTGGAAAAAATGACTGACTGGTCTCAGTGGAATTCATCTTACCTTGATGCATGTTTGTGGGCACTTAAGTGAATTGTTTTGCTTTTTCTTACTCAGACATGACTGACTAGAGACTGCTAAAATTATAGAGCTTTGTTGATAGTGGAACATACTAAAAAAAGAAAGGCTTTTAAAATATAGAAAGCAGACACAGAAATTTTCACTCTTTGAATGCTTAGCATGGTTTTACAGAAATAGTAAAATAAAAACCTGGTTAAAAAAATGATGACGGTATCTCCATACTTTGTACTCCAAATCGCTTGATACAAAACAATAATCAAATTTAAAATAGTGACTGTAACAGGAATTTTAATTATAAAGCATCAACATTTTGAATGGTTATGCAAATTGGCAATTATTTCTCATGTAGTATGTGACGAACATTAGAAATAATTAAATTATCACTGAAAAAAACATGTCTTATTACAGTTGTCAATTATTTTCTTCTTGTTAAAATTAAATTTGCTCTTAGAATATTAGTTCAATTTGTACAGTTTATTAAAAATACTTCTTGAAGGAATTAAAATTTTTACATAACTTAGTAAAACTTACTATCAACAGACTGTCGGTAGCACACATGTAGTTATTTGGTCGTAGCTAGGAAACAAAGGCAGATAAAAAAAAAAACAAGTTGTGCATTACGAATATCCTGTGCAATTCACAGGGCCAGTTAAAAAACAACATTTGAAAAAATTGCTGTCAGGCAATCTCTTATTTGTCTTTCTTTTGCTTATCACAGAGTATTTTTTTTTGTAATTCTATTTAACAGTGTATTTAACTCTCATGTTTATATTATTTTAAATCATTTTTAAAACACTTGAAATGTTTGTCATTGAAAAACCTTTTCTCCACCAGTTCCCTCTTTTCATCACAAAATAGTTCTGTTTATAGTCTGCACTTCAGTAAAAATTGAAACTGGCTCAAATTTTGCCGTCCAAATTTAGGGTTCAGTTCCAGAAATATTGAAGAATGTAAGAAAAAAGTGCAGAAAAATTTGAACAAGAAAGTCTGGCGGTGAAAAGGTTAATTACTATTCATGTATGTCCACAGAAATAAAAAATGTTGTTGTCTGTTGTCAACAAATTTGTGTTTCTGTGAAAGGGCTCTATGATTGCTGTATCACTGCAGCAATTTGTGAGGAACACAAAAAAAAAATGTTTAGGAATTACTGATAGTTGTTGTTTTATTTGCCCAGCTGGTAGGGTCTTAAGATGCATTAAAAACATTGATGATTGGATCATTTATGTTTTGTCCCTTAAGGTAGAGATGCAGTTTACCTGACAGGCATTTTAATTAGTTAACTAGGAAATCAAGACGACCTCTCTTGTCCACAAAACTATATATTTTCGGAAAGCTTATTGTATAAATTTTAAAATTTTGTTAGTATTTTTTTTATGGACACTGTAGTTTGAAATGTGCACAAACATGTGCTTTTTTGGTCAAAAGTGATTTTAAAAGAAATAGCTCCTAAACCATGCTTCTGTTTCAAATTCAAATGTATTATCGTTTTGTTAAAAGTTAAATATAGTGCATAATATGGAGATCTTGTCATTTCTTTTTTTCACCATGTTTCTTTTTATTATTTATGTACAGCCCTGCTAAATCTTGCTAAGCATTCAAAAGAGAGAATGTTTGTACCTGTTATCTATATTTTAAAATCGTTTTTTGAGTATGTTCCACTATTCACAATTCTACAAAATTCTAACAGTCTATAGCCCAGACTGTTTGGATACTAAAAAGCAAAAAAAAAAAATTTCACTCCCAAGTGCCCACGAACCTGCATCTCTACCTTAAGGTTGCAACAGAGAAAAAACTAGTTAAAATTGACCTGTGACTCAGACATTCTCTAAAAAGATACTAACCAATATAAGAACCTAGTATACATTGTCTGATAGCTTAAATATAGGCTAATAAAATAAAACCAAATGACCAATTTCTCATTATTTCTAGTTAGTTTTATCATTTTTCAATAGACATGGGACTCATAAATGTGATAAATGAATTGGAAAGATTATTGACATACAAGTTGCATATTAATTATGACAAGTATAATATCTGTTTTTCTACAAGATCCATTCATATCTCAAGAGATATTGAGATCTATCTGCAAAGTTTATTAGCTCCGCTGTTAACTTTGTCGAGTGGAGCTTATCATATGAGTGATTGTCCGTCGCCGTTGTCCGTTGTTCGTTTCAATGTTTTACTTTTTTGACTTCTTCTTGAAAACTACAAGCCTGAATGCTTTGATACTTGGTGTATATGTACAGTACCTTGGGTAGACCTTTCTTAGGTTTGTTCATTTCATGTTGATATCTTCAATTCTCTAATTTTGGTGAATATTTTGTCATTTTTGGTAAAAAATGATATTTTCGACTTCTTGTTAAAAACCGCAAGTCCAAGTGCTTTGATATTACATATATAGGTACTACATGTGGACCTCTCTCAGTTTTGTTTATTTTGTAATGATATCTTCAATTCTCCAATTTTGGCGAATATTTTTGGTAAAAAGTGATATTTTCGACTTCTTGTTAAAAACCAAAAGTTCAATTGCTTTGATATTACATATATAGATACTACATGTAGACCTTTCTCAGATTTGTTCATTTCGTGATGATATCTTCAATTCTCTAATTTTGGTTAATATTTTTGTCATTTTTGGTAAAAAGTGATATTTTTGACTTCTTGTTAAAAAATGTAAGTCCGATTGCTTTGATATTACATATATAGGTACTACATGTGGACCTCTCTCAGATTTGTTCATTTTGTGATGATATCTTCAATTCTCTAATTTTGGTGAATATTTTTGTAATTTTTGGTAAAAAGTGATATTTTCGACTTCTTGTTAAAAACCAAAAGTTCAATTGCTTTGATATTACATATATAGATACTACATGTAGACCTTTCTCAGATTTGTTCATTTTGTGATGATATCTTTAATTCTCTAATTTTGGTGAATATTTTTGTCATTTTTGGTAAAAAGTGATATTTTTTGTCATTTTTGGTGAAAAGTGATATTTTCGACTTCTTGTTAAAAACTGTAAGTCCAATTGCTTTGATATTACATATATAGGTACTAAATTTGGTCCTAAAAAGTGATATTTTTGACTTCTTGTTGAAAACAGCAAGTCATGTTGCTTTGATACTATACATACATGTATTGTTCATTTTCTAATGATATCTTCTGTTCTTTAATTGCAATGTGCATTGCTAACAGCGGAGCTATCTCAGACGACAGGCTGCTGGTATGGCAGGGAATCAAACTCAAGATTATTATATACATTTTGATATTTGCAAAGTATAATTTTCTTGTTAATTTTGGACCAAATTTCTCATTAGCTATCAACATTTTTGAAAAAGTCAAGAAAAATTTCATGAAAGACAATAAATATTGAATTTGAGTTTGAAGAGTTCAGATTATATTTAGATTTTATTATTATTATTACATAATACATGTATATTAATTAATAATAATAATAATAATTATAATAGTGACAGGATTATGTAAAGCTTGCTTAATATCTATCTCATTATGCTTTGATGCTGTGAAATACAGTGGAATGTACCAGCAATCTGCATATGACGTAATTAATCTTAAATTAGGCAAGACAATGTACATGTAAAGGATTGGGACTTCCTGTCATGTCTACAAAATAAGTTTTTACAATATTTGTTCTATTAGAAGTGCACATGAGCCTTAAATGGGATTTATTATATATCACATCATTAAAGTATTGAACAAAATTATTATTATTGTAATGACAACACTTATTGTCCACTATATTTCATTGAAATATGATTTGTTTTTACAATAGACTCAGCTTTATTATTTGCAATAGACTAAATACTGTAATTTCTGTGAGAAAGATTCAAATTATTATGACATATTTTAAGTTCATAATATTGTACTTACGGATGCTGTAAACCACTTTAATTTTGTAATGGACAAATTTCTGTGTAGTCAATAAAAATCACAAAACTTTGTACATGTATATAGCAGTGACGGTTTTACGAACATAGATTGTAAAGAACTTTCAAACAATATTTCTTTACAAATGCCATATCAAATTAGATTGTTTACAATACACGATGGTTTCTTAAAAAAATTAAATTTCATGGTGTGAGGACAAAATTATGTTTAGTATTGTGATTTAAAGAAATGATGTGAGAATTGACTGAGCATTATTTACCGATAGTTGATCTCTACAAAGTAGACAGTGTGCGTCATGTGATAACATGTACATGTATGTATACTTTAATTGTTTCTGAACTCACATTTTGTTTATCTTTATTTTATAAATTTAGGTGTGAGTCAGTTTACACAGACAGTGGAAAACTGTGAAGATGAAGCAATATGGGATGAGGTGAGTTAACTGTCTTAGACTGTTATGGTACACTAAATATAATACAAATTTAAAGATTATGTTTTCTCGTATCTTTGTTAACTGATAAAAACACACATACATGTACAACTTGATCCATGTCTTTGATTACTTTTAACAAATATTTTATATTTTACAGCGATTTGAATGGCCAGTTGCAAGTAGTATTGAGAAATATGAAACTATCGAAATATGTCTTTATAATTTTAACAAATTCAGGAGTAAAAAGTAAGTAATAATTTTAATTATTCAATTACCAACAAGCACTAGGACCTGATAAATTTAATATTAATTGATTTAATTAATTGTAAACTCTCTTTTTATTTGATCTATTTAAAATTATGAAGTTTTTTATATTTTAGAATATTATTTAATATTTTTGACATACACTGATCAAATGATATCACTGTCATTAAAATGTGTTTAATATGATAATATTGGTGCTGCACAAGTTTTTATTCTACATTGAGTTTTTAAAATATGCTTCAAATACTGCAAAATTGTGCACTTTGTTTTGTACATTTGTTTAAGATGTGTTGCTTTTTATTCAAATCACATGGCTGATAGCCCCTCATGTCAATTATTCTGTAAGTATAAGAATTTTTTTTATTTAGATTGGTTGGAAAATTTGAAATGGTATTACAAAAGTTGGTGGAAGATGGTCAGTTATATTTGACAGAATCACTACTGGATGCAAATAACACAGCAATAGCAGTAAGTAACATAGTATTTTCAGTAAAATTCACATGTTACATGGTATGTTCAGTGAAATTGACTTATAACATAGTATGTTTAATGAACATTGACTTGTAACATAATATGTTTGATAAAAATTGATTTCAAACATAGTATATTCAGTAAACATTGACTTGTAACAGTTTGTTTAATGAAAACTGACTTTTAACATAGTTTATTTAGTAAAACATAGTTTGTTTAATGGACATTGACTTGCAACATAGTTTGTTTAGTGAACGTACATGTAGTATGTGTAGTGAACATTTACTTGTGACATAGTATGTTCAGTAAAAATTTACATGGTATGAGCAATGATCATCATAAGTAATATAAAATGTTTGTCCCCAGACCACAATTACACTTAATCTACAATATCAAGCACCGGATGGCACAGTTGGAGACTGGATGAAAGAAGATTTTGCATACAAACATTTACCTGATGACCAGGTAGACAATGCTGGTGATGACATCTTTGATATTGCCAGTTTGACAAGCGGTAGCTCAAAACTAGGATCCAGAACAAGTCTCAATACTGTCGGCACAAC